ATGTCAAACTTTTATCTTTCTCTGCAAATTAGCCATAGCTTTAGTTTCTGGAGCTCTCACTGAACCTCCATAAGAGTAGATAAACGTAACTTAGCATGTTCCCATTCACCCATCAAAACATCAAACACCGTTGTTCGAACATTGTTCGAAAAGGTGTGAACTGTGTTATTAATCGTTGTTCAAGAAGTCAACGCGAAAATCATTAAATTCAAACACCAGAGTTTTCCTCCCTAAAAAACAATAATAAATATAATTCATAAATAAGATGACTAAATTCATAAAATGACAAATAAAAATGTGAGACAACTTCAAAGAGAATGTTTGTACATGTGCGACTAATAAGCACTCAGACTTCATATCAGGGGTGATAGTCGGGTCAATCACTAGTTAACCATTAACGGATACCTTTCTTCTTGGCCAATGAGCGGTTACGATGAATCATGTGTCCTGCGAATGAGAATTATTGGAATACAAACAAACTAAATTGCCCATGCAACAAGAAAGGAAGAAGCCGAAGTGATGGGTGGGAACAGAATGTTGAGAACAAATTGATCTTGACGAAACCAATGATTGTAAACTGGGTTTCAAACTTGAACGCCATCAACATTGATTGTGTCTGCAAGAGAAGTAGTAGTACCATCAATGTATCCCTCTTCGCTTTAAACTCTTCCAAGAATCCTAATTCTCAAACTTCTAATCACCCCATTCTGTCCAATTCTCCTCTCAACCAATCTAAATTTCTTTCTAAACTCTATCTTGTTACGTAATTCGGGTGTTCAAATCTGTCCCTACAACAAATTCATATACTAACTAGGACTAAGACTTGTCTTGTCCTTACTACACGTGTGCTAATTTCAAATGTGGAAAATGCAGAGGACTGTTCCGCAAAGAGGAGGGAACAGGCGCAGGTTTGTTAAGAGAAAGCGATGAACAGCAACCAACTAACCACGCCATGCTTTTGCTTAAAAATTGCCTCCCACTTCCCTCGAGTCATGAGACCACCATTTCCTACTTCGCCCAATCTCTGCACATGATGAGAACACAACCGAACTCCGCCGGAAATTGGACCTCTCAATCCATCAACAGAATTAATTAGCCCTAGCTAACTAACAAATCCGTCCTATTTATTTGACCCAACCATGTTATGATTCATGCTTCAATTTTTATGGATTATAGATATGCTACATTCACGATCTGATTAAAAAAGAGGTACAACAAGGTTGTCAAACCGGTTTATACCGTTGTGCCGGTTTGGCAAGTGAAATGGTACGACCGGTGGTATAACTAGTTTGTGTCGGTTCATGCCAGTTTAATAAAATGTGAAAAAAATTAATATCCAATGTATTTAATCATATATAAAACATATTTGTGGACAATTTAGTTACAATCCAACAAATATCATCAACTTTTAACTATTACATTCATAAAATAAATAATAAATTAATTTTGTATTCATTAAATTCATTAAAATGATGTCATTTTGCTTAGAATGCGTAAGCCGATCAAATCGGTCATACCAGTGGTGTCATGCCGGTTTCATGACCGGCACAGGTTGAACCAGGTTCAACCGGGTGGCATGCCACCGGCATGACAACCATGAGGTACAATGATAGGAAGTTATGGGGAAAAAAGAGAAAATTTTATCACCGTGTGTTTATCCCGTCTTTACAAATTAATGAGTTCTGAATTTAACTGTCCAATTTGGTTCCTAAAATTGAACTGTCTTGAGGTGAATTAGATGGAAATCTCTTCAAATGAGTGAAAGATTTTCCACGGTCCGAGTCCGACGGTTCCAAAGACAATGAGGCTTTATCGTCGCTAATTGCATGACCAAAGGTCGCACATGTTAATCAAATTTGTGAACGTATCTGCGAATCATTTTGCTAAGGGGAACCGCCAGATGAGCGACAAATATTCACGAGGAAAATAGAGCTCTAGTGAGTTTGTTTTACTGTTTGTTGAATTCTATGGATGATTAGTATGCTCATAAATAATTGGAGTATGTTCTACTTAAATGATTATAGTGGTTAAGCCAATTTAACTTTGGTGATGATTTTTTTGTTAAATTGGCAAAATGGGTGATATGTTTTGTCCTATAGTCAGCAAAACTTATAGCTTTATTAGTTCAATACATAGTAACTATCTGAAACCCACACTATATATGTGTTGCATAGGAAAGCCATAGATTACACTTATGTACTAGTCAAATTATTGTCGATTTATGGTCGAACTTTATTTAGGCCAATTCCAACCATTCCTCTCAAATTTTGTAACTTACTTTTTCAAATGTTTATTTCTAACTTCTTAATGCACTTTTCTACTACAACATATCACATATGTAGTTTAACTTTCGTTTTTCTTTTAATTTCTTTCACTTAAATCCTACTTATGTCTAACCACTACTATATGGAGGTTTTCCATGAGAACATATTTCATTCAGAATTTCTAACATTCTGAGGATTTGTAAGAAGAATGTTTTTGTCATTTAAACTATTAAAAAATAATTATTAGACTTCTAAATCACTAACCACCATTTTCCCGGGGACAAAGCCTTTGTGTTTTATTCAAACACTAATATACATGATTCTACTAATCATCTATTTTCTAATAATTTATGATTTAGGTATTCCAGCAGGTAAACTTTTATCATTTTAATCATTAGCAATAGCAAGGCATGCGTAATTATATTTTAGCTTAGGTTTATACAAAATATTACAATGTTTATAAAAATTTGAATCAATCACTAAAGTACCAGATCAAGGAGAGAAGCTCAGCAATATGTCAAGTTCTATGATTTATTAAGTCTATGGTCAATAAGCATTGATTCAGATTTACTCTAAATATTTAGAATCACAGGTTAATATATATTGAATAAGAAAATACATTCCAGTATTATGATTGAGAAATTGTGTCATAATGTAGTTACTCCGAACCGAAATTTTAACATCACTGGTTAATATATATTGTATAAGATAATATATTCCAATATTATGATTGAAAAATCGTGTCATAACGTAGTTACTCCAAATTTTGAGAATTTTCGATTAACAGATGTTGTATAAGATAATAAATTCAAATATTATTTGAGAATTGTGTCATAACGTATTACGTCTACAGTTTATAACCTACACTGTATGTATGGGTGAGTCTTGACTAAATAATTGAACACTCATTAATGGGTATATGATATATGCTGAATTTTTAAACATAAACCTATAATAGACATAACAAAAATTTATAATAATTGATTAAACGTATTAACTCAACAATATATATTTCTTCCATTAATTATTAAGAAAATATTGATTGTGTGCTGAGTATTATGATGGAATACAACAATATAATAGACCAATGTTTGATTTGAAACAAAATAGTAATAAAATCTTTCAAAAAATAATATACCGGCCAAATCTTTAACTTTCTATCGGGTCAAACAACAGTTGACTCTTAAGTGGTCAATTCATGCTGAAATAAAAAAAAAGTCATTTGTTTGGTTGTATCAACCTCAGGTGCATATATATTCGTTTTAATTAATCATTATTGTTCAAAAAAATAAAATAATATCATATATAACCACATTTTCTAAGCCATGTTTTCATGCAATGCAGCAAGCGTCTAGATGAAGGAAATTACTGGAAAACATTGACAGCAACAGTCCTTGAACTAGCTCTAGGTTAAAACCGGTACCTGGACAAGATTGATTTGAGTAAATTAAAATTCGAATTGAGCATAACTTTCGAATTTACCGTCACAAATAGAGGCGACAGGATCGGGAGAAGTTGCGGTTGCAATGGCGTCAACGAACTAGAGTATTCCATACGTTAACGCGAAATAGAGAGTTCCTTTGAATCGATCAGGCAGCGAGAGAAATTAGTCAAAATTAAACCTACTCAAATGTGTGACAACGCATAAGGAAATGAAATGTGATTAGGTGTTTTTAGAAGTCAATTTCCATATTAGAGTCCTGGTTTTTAATTTCAATAAGGACTTTCATAGAAAACTCGCTTTGATTGTTTGCGAACTCTATGTTATGCAAATTTTTCCAGTAATTAGTAACATATACGAAAAAAAAACTTACTTTGCTGATATTTTTATTTATACTACTCACGTAAACATGAAAAGAATGCAACTTTGGGAGAAATATTAATAATAATAATAAAATATATTCATAATAAAAAATTAAATTTTAATAATTATCATTATCAAATTCCAATGGAGCAACGAAGCCTGACAAAATGATAGAGAGTATAAAAGAAAATTCGCAATTATTTGTAAAATAAAGTGTAGCATGATAAAATTTGTAGGAGTTGGCTTCTTTGCATTATTACGTGCATGCAATTTTGATTTTCGGATTTTCATGGATGACTTAGTTAGAATGTTGAATTTGTTATAGATATGTGTTCCTTTCTTATATTTCAGTAATTTAAAATGTGAATTTTATATGGTATTAAGTAAATGTATATTACTTTCCACAATTGCTATTGTTTATATCATTAACGAAATGCATCCGACCAACGGACGAGCGCAAATCTAGTATATAATAAATCTATAAAAAAATCCATTTTGTTCACTTTAGTTTTTCTATACTTTCTTATATTTTTTAGGGTAATAACTATTTATTAGCCAAACATTCTTCTAAATCTTTTTTATTAGCCAAACCTATATAAATACTAAGAATTAGTCAAATGTTAACTTTCGGTTAACAATTTTGTTATTAATATTGACTTGGTAATATGATACTGACTTGGAAAAGACACATACAGGTTAAACATTTCAACATTTTAGTATTTTAACTAAGAAAAGAGTTACAAAGTTATTAATGATAACGTAAAAATAACTAATATTTTGATGCATTACCAAAAATTTAGTTAATTAATAACATTTTAATAGATTTAAATAATATAAAAAAGTTTGAATAAAAAATAACATTAAGCTGTTTTTTAAAATCTTGGACACGATAATACATTCCGTCGCATTTCATTTTCACAGTCGTCGATTGGGGATACTGGTCACTGGATAGAGACTGTCACCGAGTCCAGCCGGCCCCGCATCTTCTATAAAAGGAATCAGATCACGTTGCCTAAGATCCCGGCCTTTACCACTACCTCTACGAGCTCCCTCCAAACCACCGTCGTCCTCTTTCTTCGAACCCTCAGATAGTCAGAATCCAAATTTCCCTGCAGCTACCAGGCCGGCCATGGCGAAGCCTCACGTATCTATGAAGGTCGGGAGCGACGGCGTGGCGGTGATCGCCATCTTCAATCCTCCAGTTAATGCTTTAGCTATTCCAAGTAATCTCCCTCTCTCTCTCTCTCTGTGACATTCTTTCACCGTTTCCTGCTACTGATTCTCCAGTTGATCTCTTGTAATTTGAGATTCGATTTTCTGTTTGGCTACTGATTTCTCTACTTGAATTTTCCTTGGGGAATCGGCATAGTATTCACAGGATTAAAGGAGAAGTTCGCCGAGGCCACCCGAAGAAACGACGTCAAGGCTATCGTTCTAACTGGTGACTATCTTGCTTCTGTGCTCCTTGTTATAGAGCTAGTTTTTATGTTCCAATTTAGAGGTTCGGATGGTACCCTTGGAAATGGCGTACAGGAAATGATTGCCGGTTTCCGCCATGGACTTTGGATATTCTTATCATTTAGTATCATTAAGCTATGAGAGCTAGGAAGTCTTCCTCCCTAGAACTGAGCAATTGTTTCTGATCTCTTGAGCTTATGCGGTTTCTTACACATTCGTGAATTTGATAATGTTTTAGGCTTACAATGTGATGGAAAACCTGCGATGTTTGGGGGGCTCACCCATTTTGTTTGGTTATTTTGGTGAATTTTCATCTGTGGTTTTAGGCAAGGGTGGCAGATTTTCTGGCGGGTTTGACATCAATGTGTTCCAGAAGGTTCATGTTACTGGTATCGTCTAATATGCATAAGAACTTTGTGTGAATTATGGTGCTCCATTGGTCGAATTGTTTGATGACCAATGTGTTCACTGTTCTGTTATTTGGAACTGCAGGGGATGTTTCGGTTATGCCTGATGTTTCTGTTGATCTCGTAGTCAACACCATTGAAGGTTTGTGTTCTGTATTCTAAATTTGTGGTTCCCTTTTCACGATTGATGAGAGTGCTCGGGCCAATTTCCAGAAGCGGAAATGCAAGGCTAGATTGTTGGGTAGCACATGCCAGGAGATGATGCATGCTTTCTGTTTCTCTTTTACGTTGGCACAGATTGCAAGAAACCTGTCGTTGCTGCTATGGAAGGATTGGCATTGGGAGGAGGCTTAGAACTAGCGCTGGTGTGTTTCGTCCTTTGATCTCTACAAGTTCGTCCGTTCATTTTTATTTTGGTTACTTCATCACGGTTTCTCATCCTTGAAAATTATTTCAGGGATCTCATGCACGTATTGCTGCACCAAGAACTCAACTTGGCTTGCCAGAATTGACACTTGGCGTGATACCTGGTTCTGGAGGTCCAAAATACTTAACCTTAACACTTATAGAATCAGACCTGTACATGATTACACATTTCTTTCTAGATTTATAATTTCTGGTGGATTCTATGTGGCGCTGAAAATGTAGTTATTTTCCTAAAGGTACACAGCGACTCCCAAGGCTTGTAGGGCTGCCAAAGGCCATTGAGATGATGCTAGTAAGCTTTTCTATTGATTACTCTAAGGAAATGCTACTACTTTGGGGTCACTGCTAGGATACAACTCTGGAAAGTAGCACAATGAACTATCATTTTTCTTTCGCTGAGCAGATCAATCTGGCACCTAGATTCCCTTTCCTTTTTAGTAAATTTTGTGAAATGATGCTAATCTTTTTTAGAGCAAGGGTTGAGTTATGTCCAGATGTTTATGGTACACTCAGAGTCTAAAACCAAACCACAAACAATATGAAAATGCCTCATTTTGAATTCTACGTCCTCATTACTCTGCAAAAGCTTTTAGACTTGAATTCTATCCTTTACAGCTATCCAAGCCCATCCTGTCTGAAGAGGGAAAGAAGCTTGGTCTTATTGATGCTCTTGTCTCTTCTCAAGATTTGCTGAAAGTATCACGAGAATGGGCTCTAGACATTGCTGACAGGCGCAAACCTTGGGTTCGTTCACTTCATAAGACTGACAAGATTGGTTCGCTCTATGAGGCCCGTGAGGTACTGAAAGCTGCTAGGCTGCAAGCCAAGAAGACCGCCCCAAATATGCCGCAGCATCTGGGATGCCTTGATGTGATTGAGGATGGCATTATTCATGGAGGCTACAGTGGGGTTCTGACGGTACCAAAGGCTTTAAGATTTGAAATCCACTGCTATTGTGCAATAACATCTTTTTTTCATGAAAATTACGATGCTTCTGGCATTAAGACTTGTTCCTGACATCTTATGGGTTTAAATAAGCATTCTGCTTTTATGTGCTAAAAGCAGTACAGTGCTTCTTGACCTTTGTTATGTTCATGGATGATGGATTGGTGCAGCTTCTGTGACAAAAATATATTATGTCTCTCCTTCACTGCTGATGGATTAAATTATTTATTTGACAGGAGGCAAAAGTATTCAACGAGTTGGTCTTATCAGAGACTTCAAAGGGTCTAGTTAATGTGTTCTTTGGCCAGCGTGCTACATCAAAGGTGCCTGGTGTGACTGATGTTGGCCTTAAACCTAGACAGATCAAGAAAGTGGCTGTTATAGGTGGAGGCCTAATGGGTTCTGGGATAGCTACTGCCCTCATTACAAGCAATATATATGTTGTTCTTAAAGAAGTAAACTCTGAGTATCTTCTCAAAGGGGTAAAAACAATAGAAGGTATCTGATCGTGTTAATCTAGTTGGAGGGCGGACTCCGCAGTTTGATGATTCCAAATTTTTATAATTAGTCCGCAAATGGTTGTAGTTAGTTACATATTTTCAATTGCAGGAAATATTCGGAACTTGGAGACAAGAGGAAAGTTGACGAAGGATAAAGCTAAAAAAGCTATCTCAATGCTTGAAGGTGCTTTGGACTATTCGGACTTCAATAGTGTGGACATGGTCATAGAGGTAAATTCTCCATTGTGCTGAGTCTCATTCTGTCATCTTGAACTTCTTATGGAATCTGGACTCCAGAATGGCTCTCAATTTTATAGAGCTGGCCCTTTCAGTTTTGTTGTACTGTTGTGCTAGTCTCATGTGCAAATATTTTCATTGGAGATGGTTTGTATCATAAGTTGTCTTTTAACTTCTGGTTAGTAGTTATTTGATTAAGTTTCTATCATTTGCAGGCAGTTATTGAAAATATTCCCTTGAAACAAAAAATATTTGGTGAACTTGAAAAGGTTTGTCCTGGTCACTGCATTTTGGCAACTAACACATCCACCATCGACCTGAGTGTGATTGGAGAGAAGACTAACTCACAGGATCGCATCATAGGTGCACACTTTTTCAGGTTTGGTTACCTTGTTTTTTTTTTTTTTTTTTTTTTTTTGTTTCTTGTCTCCATGGTCTATCATTAATAGTATGGCTCTCCAGCAGCACAAGTTCTGGCTAATAGAAGACTTGTTCTGTTTTTTCACAAGCGTTAAAATGTTGCTCCCGTGCATGCTCATTTTTTTATGGACAGCCCTGCTCATATAATGCCTCTCCTGGAGATAGTGAGGACGAACAAAACCTCAGCACAAGCAATTCTTGATCTTATGATAGTTGGGAAGGCTATAAAGAAAGTACCCGTTGTCGTGGGTAACTGCACTGGTTTTGCAGTCAATCGTACCTTTTTCCCCTACTCACAGAGCGCCCATATACTAGCCCATGTAGGCGTGGACGTCTTCAGAATCGACAGAGTCATCAGCAGCTTCGGCCTCCCTATTGGCCCATTCCAGTAATTTCTTTCTCCTTCTCAAATTTACTTGGCATCGTTGTGGATGACTGATCTTCGATAATAACCGTTTCTCTATTACCCAATGCATTGAAGGCTCCAGGATTTAGCTGGATATGGAGTAGCTTTGGCTGTCAGCAAAGAATTTCGCGGTGCATTCCCTGATCGCACATTTAAGTCACCCCTGGTTGATCTCTTGATTAAGAATGGACGAAATGGTACTACAAATAGTGACCTGTTGATATTGTAGTTACTGGTTGCATCATCCAGTTGGGGACTACACTCATGTTACTTTCATACTTCGTACCACTTTTGCTTTGCTAGGCAAGAACAATGGAAGGGGATACTACATTTACGAGAAGGGAAGCAAGCCAAAACCTGATCCTTCAGTACTACCCATCATCGAGGAGTCGAGGCGTATTGCCAATATGATGCCCAATGGAAAGGTTCATTTCTTATATAGCTTTCTAGAATAAAAGAACATGGCTTAATAAACTCAAGTCCTGATGTGGGTTTTGGTGGTTTGGCAGATAATCAATGTTACTGATCAGGATATCCTGGAGATGATCATGTTCCCGGTGGTGAACGAGGCATGCCGTGTACTTGACGAGGGCATGGTGGTTCGAGCGTCAGACCTCGATATAGCATCTGTGCTCGGGATGAGCTTCCCGTCTTATCGGTGAGTCACCCTCGTTCATCTGTGCCTTAGGGTGGTTAAAATCAAGTTGGGGCAAGGAAACAAACTTCATTTTAATCCAACTTTGTAAAACCAGTACTCATTAGAAGTCTCACAAATTATTTAGATCATTTTAGCAAAAGCTTAAACAAACAAACCACTTGGAACCCTTTTTTCTTCAACGGGAAGTCCATTCAAATTGTTTGTTGCACGATGCAGTGGTGGTATCGTCTTCTGGGCGGACTTGGTCGGGGCGAAACACATATATGAAAGGCTAACGAGGTGGTCGGAGTTGTACGGTGGGTTCTTCAAGCCATCGAGCTACTTGGAAGTGCGTGCAGCAAGGGGAGTCCCATTGGTAAGAAGCAAAACCTTTCGAGCTTGAACAATGTGTGGTTGTGTTTCGGCTTTTACATAGTTCTTCGTTGAGCTCCAAAATATGCATTAACTGCCATCTGTGTTCTTCTTGGTTCTTTCTTCTTGTTGTTCTGTAGAGTGCTCCTGCTTCGTCTCTCTCTTCTTCATCAAGGTCTCGGCTGTAGACAACAAGGCCTCTTGTTTCCGTCACCAGCAAGTCAAATCACAAATGTAATAAAATGTCTGGAAAATGTGTCTGAGATTTTCGTATCCCAGCAATAAAGGGTAGATCATAGGGTTTATAAACCTCTGGAAATTTCATATTTTGCACATCAGCGATTACTCGTAGTGTTATCATCGATTATAACAAACGTTTATGTTTGCTCTCTATCTCACTTCATATCTTTTGGTAGTTCATACGAACGTCACTTTCCTTCTTTAGGAAGACCGTATGTACTACCATCCGGGAATGGATCAGGTCAGTAACCTTATGGTGAGTAACCATGAGTAACCCGTCCACATCAGTATGACATCACCATCCTCTCTCTCCTGTAAAGCCTTTAATTTTCCCCTCTTTAATTTTTGACGGACAATTTCTCACTCATTTTAAGTCGAAATTTAATTTTTTTTGCACAGTTAGATCAGATTAATTGTGCTCTTCAAAATGATATCCACTTTAATATATTTTTCGAACAAAAAAATTTGAGCCATTTTTTACCAGTCTATACCATATGGTATTGACTGGTATTGAAATAAAAGCATACCTATGGTTTAAAAAACGTACCATGGTGGTATGAACAAATCAAGACTGTAGGATGGTTGAATATATGATAGTAGAAGTATATTAATTGTCATTTACGACTTTTAACATTGTATACCACACAATACCACCCCGTACCAGGGTGGTATTGTGTGGTATTTTTTGGTCCTGTAATTTGTTCACCCAGAAATTTGTAGATCCAATAGATCATGATGAACTCGTCCCTTCTGTGCAAACGTTTTCAAAAACGAATTAAAAACGAAGAAGATACCATACAATACCACCCCGTACCAGGGTGGTATTGTATGGTATTGTGGGGTATTTTTTGGTACTGTAATTTGTTCACCCAGAAATTTGTAGATCCAATAGATCATGATGAACTCGTCCCTTCTGTGCAAACTTTTTCAAAAACGAATTAAAAACGAAGAAGATACCATATGCTATGCAGTTGGTACCGAGATGCTAGAATTATTTTTTTCTAAAAATATATTGAAAATTGATCTCGTTTTGTAGAGCACGATAAACTCGTTCCATCTGTGCAAAAAAAAATTAAAATCCGAGTTAAAACGAAAAAGATATGAGTCAATTAAGAAAACTAGAAAAAATAAAAATGGTCTTTAATTCTCCTTTCTTAGGTCTGAATTTTCTAAATAAAGGGTTCAGATTTGGTTATTAATGGGTGCATAACCCATCCATGGTTATGCACCCTATCTTGAGTCCTATCATCCCATCATGATCGAATCGGGCTACTTGGCACGTGTTCACATGTGGCATCGATTCCTACTTTCTAGCACTAGTTGGCAGTTATGGATGTACCAGACTGTGTTGCCTACTTCCTCGTCTTTTGCCAGATCTGCCGGAAGCAGCTTCCTCTCCACATTAATGTTCCGAGCTTAAGTTTTAGATAGCTCGTTCTAACATTTGCTATTTGTAACGTTTCGCCCATGGAATGATGTTGTATAGTATCGGATCAACCAGTTAGACCAAAAATTGCCTTACAACAGGGAAAAATTGGAAATCGCCCACAGCTAGCTAGGCTTGTACAATCTATATACACATAGGACATGGTTCTATTGTTGCATTGCAACATATCGATCAGATTAAGCCTATGATACCCAACTGAACACATTATTTTCTCACCGCCCTTGTCAAAGGCTACAGTTCATATTCCACGTCAAATGATTAATTATTATTTTTTTCCTTATTAGCTCTCTGCTCTAGTGCACTGTTTTCTCTTCTAACAATAGTGAATAAAATTAGGCGGGCTGAAAATTGCTACAGCTCTAGGTTATACAAACCCAGGAAGTATTAGCCCGTGTAAAAAATACGACCCTCTCCCCCTGCAATTGCAAAGGCTCTCTCTTTCTCTACAATTTACACTCTTTGAACATATAAACTACGCGATTAACAATTAGTCTTTAACCAGCACCCTGCTTAGCCTTCAGGCTCTCTTGGCAGCACATCAAGTTGATCATCGCCCAAAAGCAGTCCTCGTCGAGGACTGAGACCAGGACCGCTGTCGTCTGTATATCCATAAATTTTTGTGCAGAGGACAATTTTCAGGATGTCTGTCATGACTTAGGCTTTCCATCAGTATTTTGTGGGAGTATGCTACTTTTCAGAGGATCGATTGTATTCGACGATGGTGTGTCGATCGCAGAACTAACCAATTGAGGTGCTCTGGCTGCTGTCTGTGGAGCGATGAAATTATTAGCTGCCCCGTTGCTGAAGGGCCCACCAGCGCCGCCATGTTGAATCCCTCCTTCCACAGCTCGATTACTCGTCATTGTTGTTGTGCCATTGCTGAGCATGTATCTCTGATCAATGGACTCTGATCTGGCTACCGATGAACACACTATTTCTGTTGGAATCGGAAGGAGGATTAGTGAAATGGCAACATAACATAACACAGGAAACCTAAGAGAAAATAGTATATGAGAATGAGAGAGAGTGAGGCTTGCCTTTCTCCTCTCCCAACATGATGAGGTTTTGTAGACAATCTCGGAACTTGGTTAATACGACTCTTTCCTGCTCCACGTAAGATTCTGTTGTCACGCCTTGTCCGTTGTCAGGTGACTGCAATGCTGTGATCCCACCATGGCCCGTCAAGCCATTTGGTGAGGAAGCTGCCATGAACATAGTGTCTTCCTCATCACACATTAGTGCTAAAGTTCCGGGTGACATTGGCCTCAATTTCGAAGCATCCACATCGTCTGACGTGGAACCATTATCAGGACCTGAGTTGTCAACCGGGATAGCACTGGAGCAACCATCATCAGCAACACTTTTCTCGGCATCTGTTTCTCTCTGGTTCTGCTTTTCCTGAGTTGATGATGCAAGAGAAGCTTCAGCCTGGACTTCCACCTGCTTTTCTAGCTCAATTATTTGCTCTGCATAGGAAAATTCCAAATTCTTATGGCCCGGATAAGCAAATCTACTCACGCTCTTAATATAAATGGAAGGTTAGAGAGCAGCAGAGCAGGGAAGCTAGCTAACATTGCATAGGATACTCCCCGGAACTACCAACAGAATCAAACTTAGTCATCCTTAATCTACTGATGACACTTGAAACCTGGTTATCACAAATGGTCTGAAAAATAAGCAAAATGGTAGGCTGATTTGCTTCTCTGATCATTATACAGAGAGCATCATGACACACTCCAATCCTTGACCAAATAGCCAGGTGGTCATTGACAAATAAATCCAGATTTAGCAGCTAACATGATTTTCTATCAATGAAAATCTTAGGAAAGCATAGGGTTATTAGGGGAATTATATAATATACCTGTGGATAAAGGAAAAGGCTGACCATCTAAAGGACATGAAGACTATGGGAACAAGTTCTAGAAGCTCATTCATCTATCCAGGTTTACTTCACACGAACGTGGATAATACAAAACCTTTATGTACAACAGAACCAGGACAAAATCTTGGAAGAATTAATCGTAGGTGCAAAAATACATGAAAACGAAGTTGTGGACAAGTGGAAATAAATTAGCTAGGATTCGTCATCCAGAGAAACAGATAATTGAAGTATGTGCCAAAGAAATCAGAATCTCCAGAAATGCATGTGTGTTTCACAACTATGGTGTGAATTTAGGCTACTAATCTAACTAAGAACACTTTTACAAGGAGGAGGGGGGGGGGGGGGGGGGGGCTAAGCTTATAAAACAATGAATATAGACCTAAACAGTGTCTAGCATGAATGGATATATAGTTCGGATGTAATATTTTCTTTCATATACGAATGACAAACAAAAGCAATGTAAATGATACCACATATTGCAGGGGTTCTCATTCCTCGTGGCAAAGATGATCAGTGGTAGTCGAGCATACTAATGACAAGTACCTCCTTATTCTTTATATAATCAGCAACTATACAAAGTTCAACATAATACCTGCAAGTGTTTTAGCAGCTTCTCCAGATAAAACCACCAATACAGAACAAAGTGCTTTAATGTCCTGGGGTTGAATAATGTCCGCTAACAAAGACCTTCAATCACAAGTGGGGGAAAATCAGCCACATTTTAGAAGGAAATTTGTCATACATCCAAAAGGAAACTTCAGACCTGTATGTGACTTTGGAAGGGGTATGCAGTGCTATGCTGCCACCACGAACTACGTGGTTTGAAGAGGTTGCAGGAGCCCTGATCTGGTTAGCCTGATTAAAGAGGATTACACATCATTCACATTTTTCATTACACACTCATTCAGTCAGTCCGAGTTAAGTTGAAAATTCTAAAAGCAGAGAACATGCAGCCATTATACTGTTTAAGGTTGTCTTCAAAATTCCTAAATGTTGAGTATAGAAATCATTAAAGGATACACAATTCAAGTGAAAAAGGAATCCTACCTGCTGAGTATGTCCTGGCCTGTGAAAGGAAGGCTCCCTGCCTGTTTGACCAAAAAATAGTTCCTGGCCTTTTCTCTTTCTAGACACTGGAAGCGATGTAAACCCAGATGTACCAATTGCTCCTGTTATAGCAGCATTTGCCTGCTGCATGTTAATGTTGTTGGCATGGTCACTGTGAAAGAGAGCCTGGAGTTCCTTACTTCCTTCGAAATTCTTGCAGTCTATGCACTTGCAATTTTCAGAACAGAGGATGTTTGCCTGGAAGCATTCACAATACTTCTTGAGGCATTCCGACTTTTTGCAATGGCAACCCTTGTTGTGCTTTCCCAGCACTACTAATTCCCCATTTTCCTCCTGCACATATATGAACTGATTGACTTGCTAAGCGAAACAAGAAAATGACAGCTCCCTTAAAAAATGAAGGTGAATTAGACCAAAGTCACAAATCCTATTCCAGCCAATCCTTCAAGGTGATCTTGATATAATTTATTTTAAGATAAAAAAGGAAAATCACAAAAAAAAACATGCTGAAATAAACCATGTACCAAATCTACCACTATCTAAATATCCCAATGACCAAAATTAGCCAAAAACATGCCACATAGTGAACCCTACCAAATATTCACAATGCTCAACAATGTCCAAAACTTCGAGTGTGTTAATTTATTTATATATCTATCAAGAATGCCACAATTTGAATAGAAAAAGAAACTAAGCCCAGTCGTCCCAGTATATGGTTTCACCAAAATGAAACAGAGAGAACTCCGATCAATTTATTGATAGAGGGATTAAAAAATTTCTGAAGAAAAGAACAATGAGGGAATCTATCTTTTAATTAGTGCAGTAGGAATTCTCTCTTCGGCTCCACAAATGCGGACCAACTGTGAATTAGTGCAAACCTGGAGCTATTAAGAGTGCAGTATTTACACAGCCCTCAGGGATTGACGTAGTGGCATTGGAGCATGAAAACATCAAACCACTGTTTGTACCGTTGAACTAACTTTACCGGTACGAATAATAAAAAGCAAATATCTACCCGGATATCTCGTGGTGGATGTGGGCTGCTTGCAATTTTTGGCCTGAATGCATTTGGATTACGCTCCAAAGTCGATTCAACTGCTTCTCGCCTGGCAGCTTCATTCTCGACATTATTATAGCAATTTACACAATTGCATCCATCACAATATGTTCCAGAAGCAAAGCACTCACAGTACCTGATAAAAAAAAACTCAAAAATAATTAGCTCGAAAGTGAAACATAGTGTACGTCCCGTAACTTAAAGCGAAATGGATATCAAATTATCCTAACAGAAGGAAATTTTTAATGAATAGATTGAAATAAAAGACAGGCTAAACAAAAGCAGTTGATGGGCTCAGAGGACAGCCACGTGTTAACTACAATCATCTGTTGATCATACCAATAAGCAACTGTAAATGAATGTGGCCGCTATCAGATGGAACTTTTACTACTGTTGTATATGCGTGCAAACTGGTAGGTACACTTGAAAAGACTTTGCACTCAGAAGTATCTGCCTTTTGGATTCGGCAAAGGATATAAACTTAAAGTTAATGTCTTTACTAAGAAGATAAATTACAGCTTAGTTATGACCAGTAGAAAAGAATAAGGGAAAAGTGAACTTAGTCTATCATATGGCTCATGTATATTTGGATCCTAATCACGATTTCCACAAGTATAGCTTCCTACACTGAGAAGGTATAGCTTATAACAATGCCCCAGCTAAACCTGGAAAAACGAAGAGGCCTAGCAAACATAACAAACCTCCAGTGCTGCACAGCAGAACCAGCTTCCTGGATAAGGGAAGAGGGTAAGGGCTGTTCCTAAGAAAATCATTATTTCGTCATTGCATGAAAAGTTGAAACTAGCATCATGAATCAGCAACAAAAAACATGGAACTGCACCATCAACACCAGGGGCCCCCATACCATATCCAATCGCGGAAACCTTTTCATATAGATTTCACCATGGAACATTTCAAAAGGAAACTTCAAATACAATGAAATTCCGACAAGAAAAAAGGTACTCACAGCTTCAAGCACTTTGAGTGCCTACAGTTACACTGTTTCTGCTTCTTTGGTGTACCATCTTTCTCTGCAGCTGGTCTTGCTCTTGATTTTGGGGAGTCAGGTTTCCTGTGGAAAGAAATGGTTCATTAACAAAAGAATTAGAATGATGCAATCTCCTTGAACATAGTCGCAGCAATTGTGATGAGCACGTTCCCTTTAACTCAGGGTTGAAGTTCGCAATTACGAACACATGGCGAAAAGTCGAAACTATCGCAGGTAAACATTAATGTTCATGATAGAAGAAGGAAATTGTAATGCAACAAGGTGGAGCATTTATGACAGTGGAGTCTTAAAAAACACCAGAAGATGAATACCCCCACACAAAATCTCTACAGTAAGACAGCCAGGTTTCACTTGATCAATTAGGAATGCCGAAAGCCAATATGAAGTCCAGAAGCCATAGCCAAAATAATCTATGATATCGCAATTCAATACTTCAGCCATTGACAAAACTTCATTATCGAATAAGTTACCGAGATTGATCAGGAAATATCTATAAAAAAAAGAACTTTGATAGAAAGAAACAACAGAAGCAACCCAGAAACGATAAACAAGATCAACACAATCAACACTCTATGGCAGTCAATTCTTCCACAGGCAAAATGAAACTTGAAGCGAATTCCAGTCGAGAACCACCCGATTCAAAATATCCCCAAACGGGGAAACGGGAAGAAAAGAGAAAGAAGGAAACTTACACAGCCTTCACAGCTGGAACACCTTGTTGCTGCTGCTGGTGAGTTGGCGGCTGAGGCACAGCAGGGGCGGTCGCCGCAGCAACGAGATGCGGCTGCTGGCTCTGAGTGACAGGTACAGAGACCGGCGGTTTCGCAATCGGCTGCTGCACAGCCACCGTCGGCTTCTGAGGCGGAGGCGGAGCAGCAACCGGTGGTTGCTGCGGCGTCAGCGATTGTGGATGGTGGGGAAGAAGAAGCCCACCGCCGCCGCTGAAATCGAGCTGCCTAGCAAGGGTCTTCGCCGGGAAATCCGCGGGGGATTGTGCCGCCTCCGATTGCGGAGCCATTTTTGGAGGGAATTCGCCTCCTTCTCCCTCCCTCATCCCCCCCAAACTAACAAAAATTACCCCTCGAATTCCGACCCAGGGAACCAAAAAAACGCTAATCCCGCGCGCGCTTCTTCCCCCGCCTAAAATTCCAACAAACCCGACCCGAATTCCGCAACTTCCAGATCCCCGCGCTCCCCGCCCCCGGAAAAATCGCCAATCAGCTCAAACAACAGCTGACTTCTCCCGGCGGAATGACGGAGCGCCAAATTTCAGAGAAGAAACAGCAGAGCGCACAGAAATTGATCCGAAAAGGCTGGCTGGCGGCCGCCGGCAAGGAAAGAGAGCAAGCCGCGGCCCGGCCCCGCCCCAACCCGCTGCGCGAGAGAGAAAGAGAGAGAGATTGGTGGAGTAGAGGCGCAGGAAGAAAGCGAGGGAGGCAGTGAGAGTACAAAAAGGGGAGAAGGAGGTCAGGGCTTTTTGGTTTTCCTTGCGCTCTTCAGAGTCTGTTTCTTTCTTGTTTGAGTTTCCTCCTCCCTCTCTCTCACTGCATTTTGAATTTTGGGCTTAATAATATCGAAAGGGGTCCGGATTGCACTGGTTTTGATTATCCGACGGTCCATGACATGGCACTGGTTTTGGGTTTCATCCAACGGCCTGAATTCATAGGTAAAAGGAAGAACCGAGTTGTTTGTTTCCCTACCGTCTCGCCGTCTTGTAATAACAGTGGTTTCACTTTGTGGGTTCACTTCGATCATGTTGTCCTTCCTTCCTCCTCTTTTACTTCCACTTTGTGGCTCTATCTTCTGAAGACTCCCTGAATATCTCATTTGCTGCCACCATCAGCCATGCCAATTGTTGCTCGTCGAGTCTGATTGTTCATGCCTCAAACGGACAATTTTGTTTTGATGTCAGGTCCCCTCTTTGTGCCTTTTTTATCTGCTTCGCTTCGCTGCATAGATTCTTGCAGTTCGTGATGCCAACTTGGTTGCACTCCCTAAACAAATGGATAAGCCTAAGAGGAATGCCTTCCTCGCAATCTAAAGCTGCAGAATGAGGCCAGCAGAGTAAATACTTTGCTAGGTTCCGCAAGAAGGTGGCAGGAAGAGAACTGCTGGTGCGCTCCAACGATTGGCTTTTGCCAAAAGTTCCAGCAAGCTACCCATACAAAGCAACTGATCGAACTCAATATCACATCTCATACTCCGACCCGACGCACGACCTTCTGCAGCAAGAAGCGCAGAGAGGACCAGTGGTTCCTCGTCCACAAGCACACAACTGATAATCTGCAATTCATGTTCTTAAAATGGCTGGACATAAAAACCTCTCAAGCCTTTGCATTGATGAGATTCTACACAACAAAGAGGGTTCAAGGATTTATACACAAGCACTCATCTACCCATGCTTCAATAATCTACCAACAATTCGATTCACCAGTTTGCGACACCAGTTGCCAGTCTCTGAGCTCGTGGAAACCGAATGGAAAACCCGCTCCCAGTCTCGGTGACATGCATAAGACCAAAATCATCAAAAACAAAGTCAGGATCCTTGTAGTCTGTTAGAAACCCGCTCGGGTTGGGGTCGGGTTAGGAAAGGGGATTCGGCCCTTTCTTGTTGTTCGGTTTATTAGTAGTTGAGAAGCACTATATAAGGTTGGTTGAGACTAGTTCATTTTTCAGATTTAAGCAATAAGAATATTAAACCTAATTCTCTATCTCTCTCTACAATTCTTCCCCAATTCTTCTCAATTTCCAAATCCCTAACCCTAATTTCTATTCTCAATCTCTCTCATTCTATTCCCAATCTAGCGGGTTTCTTACAGTGGTATCAGAGCGCAGGTTACGATATGAGTTCCACCAAACTCTCAATCGGGGACTTTGCACGCCAGCTGCGACAGGACTTCGTCCGGGCCCTCGTCGAGCTGGAGCAGCGAGCGGGGCAAGAAGAGCAGCCCGATGGTGAGGCAGCCGTGGGGGTGACCGGCGGAGACGAGCCGCCGATGACAGGGGCGGCCGCGGCGACGAGCGAAGAGGACGGGGGTGAGGAAGCGGCGGTGGTGTCGGCTGAGGCCATGGCGGGAATCGCCTCGGCCAGCACCATGCGACTCCGATTTACGGTCAACGGGCAACCAGCAACTGCCCTAGTCGATACCGGGGCCTCGTTGAACTTCATCGGGGAGGGTTTTGCGGCCGCATTGCAGGAGGAGGCGAAGAAGGTGAAGCCGATCGTGGTGAGAGCAGCGAACGGTGCCGGGCTGCACTGCGATCGACAATACCAAAGGCGCGATTCTCGAAATTCAGGACATGGAGAGCAGGGCGGATTTGCATATGTACTGCCGATACAGGGCTTTGACGTAATTTTGGGAATTCCTTGGCTGAAGAGTTTTGGCCCGGTGATCAGTGACTGGGAGAAGATGACTATGCACTTCAAATGGAGAGACAAGGATTGCATATTACAGGGAATGACCACGGCGACAGGGCCCGTGAGCTGGGCGGAGCTACAGTCGCTGGAAGAGGCTGAACTGGCGGTCCTCTGTTGGCCGGCAAGCGTCGATCGAGACCAGGAGTTCAGGCCGGAATTGCAGAGTTTGCTGGACAGGTTTGGAGACCTGTTCGAGAACCCGGGGAGACTGCCGCCGACGAGATCAGTCGATCACCACATTAAGTTGAAGGAGGGAGCAGATGCGGTTAATGTAAGACCGTACCGTTATGCACACTATCATAAAGCGGAGATCGAGCGCCAGGTGGAGGAGATGTTGGAGGCAGGGTTGATTAGACCGAGCTCGAGCCCTTTTTCTTCACCAGTGCTGTTAGTTAAGAAGAAGGACGGAACCTGGCGGTTCTGCACGGACTACAGAGCACTAAACCAGGGCACGGTCAAGGATCGGTTCCCGATCCCGACCGTGGATGATATGCTAGATGAGCTACAGGGGGCCCAGTACTTCACGAAACTGGACTTGAGAGCAGGGTACCACCAGATTCGGATGCATGAGGACGACCTTCATAAGACGGCCTTCCGAACACACAGCGGGCATTATGAGTACCTGGTCATGCCCTTTGGATTGTGTAACGCGCCTTCTACCTTCCAAGCGGCTATGAATGACATTTTCAGGCCGTTGCTTCGCAGGTCTGTGTTAGTATTTTTTGACGATATTATGGTATATAGTTCGTCGTGGGAGGAGCATTTGCTGCATTTGCAGGTGGTTTTCGAGATTCTGAGGGAAAACCAGTATTATGTGAAGGCCTCGAAATGCGCATTTGGGTTGCAGGAGGTGGATTATCTAGGCCATGTCATCAACCGCCAGGGCGTGAAGGCCGATCCGGCCAAGATAGCTGCGATGGTGAACTGGCCTGTGCCGAAGACGGTGACTGAGGAGCTTCCTGGGGCTCACTGGGTATTATCGGAAATTTGTGAAGAACTACAGCTCCATCACGAGGCCGTTGACCGAGCTTTTGAGGAAGGGGGGATTTGGGTGGAATCCACAGGCGGAGGCGGCGTTTCAGGCATTGAAGGAGGCGATGGTCTCCACGCCGACCTTGGCGCTACCCGACTTTTCCCAGACTTTTGACATCGAGACGGATGCATCAGGTAAGGGCATTGGAGCTGTACTATCGCAGAATGGTCATCCGATCGCTTATTATATTAAGACATTGGATCCTTCAAAGGAAGCCGGGTCTACTTACCAGAAGGAGATGTTGTCCATTACCCATGTAGTCCAGGCCTGAAGACCCTATTTGTTGGGGCAACGATTCCGGATCTATACGGACCACCAGAGCTTGAAGCATCTCCTAAACCAGAGGATATCAACACTGGATCAGCATAAGTGGCTAGTGAAGCTCTTGGGCTACGACTACGAGTTGCACTATAAGCCAAGGCCATCCAACAAGGTGGCTGATGCATTGTCTAGGTGCGAAGGCGAGGAGACATTGGCGGCAGTAACAGGTCCAATCGTGCAGTTCTGGGATGAGGTCAGAAGGGCCGTGGAGACCAGCCCGTATTTGCAGGAGTGCAAAGCGAAGGCTATTAGCGAAGAGCCGGGGGGATTCACCTTCCGGTACGGGCTTGTCTTTTATCGGGGTCGGATCGTGCTACCGACCGAGTCCTCCTTGGCTACTACTATCATGAAGGAGTACCATGACACCCCAGTCGGTGGCCACTCTGGGCATGAGCGCACTTTGAGGAAAATAAGAGGGCAGTTCTACTGGCCAGGTATGAAAAATGAAGTGAAGTCGTACGTAGCATCCTGTGACACCTGTCAGCGTGTCAAGGCCTCCCTGCTACGGCCCGCCGGTTTGCTACAGCCGTTACCGGTGCCGGAGAGAGTCTGGGAAGATATTAGTATGGACTTTATAGTCGGCCTACCTCCGTCGGGAGGTCAGACAGTACTGTTGGTGGTGGTGGATCGGCTCACCAAGTATGCACATTTCCTGGCTCTAGCTCATCCATATACCGCCAAGACAGTGGCCGAGCAGTTTGTATGGCGAGTCATCAGGCACCACGGGTTTCCTCGATCCATAGTCAGTGATCGGGATGCGCTATTCTTGGGGCGATTTTGGCAGGAGGTATTCTCGCTGGCTAAAACGGAATTGAGGATGAGCTCTGCTTATCATCCCCAATCCGATGGACCAACAGAGGTGGTAAATAAACACCTCGAGCAGTACCTGCGGTGTTTCACGCACCAGCAGCCGCGAGGATGGTTGGCTATGCTACCCTGGGCGGAACTATGGTATAGTACCACTTACCACCGAGCGATCCAGAAGACCTCGTTCGAGGCTCTCTACGGGCGGCTTCCCCCGACTTTAGTGCGGTATGAGGGCGGCACTAGCTCGGTCGATGCAGTTGACCGTTGGTTGGCGACGAGATATGAGGCACTGCAGAAGCTGAAGGAGAATTTGGCAGCATCGAATAATCGGATGAAGCAGTTAGCTGATTCCGGAAGGCGAGAGGAGGAGTTTGCAGTGGGGGATTGGGTGCTACTCCGATTGCACCCGTACCGGCAGACATCGGTGTTCAGGAGGGCTTATCAGAAGCTGGCAGCGAGGTACTTCGGGGCCTATCAGGTGGTGGAGAGGATCGGGCAGGTGGCCTACCGGCTACAACTTCCAGCGACCGCTCGCATACATCCCACCTTTCATGTTTCATTATTGCGCAGGTATCGAGGAGCTGTGACACCGAAGGAAATTCCGAACCCGCCGGTGAATTGGAGTTGACACCCAAGGGAGTCCTCGAGACTAGGTGGGTGCGGCGCGGAAAGAAATTGATAGAGGAGAGCTTAATTCAATGGGAGCATATGGAGGCGGAGGATGCCACTTGGGAAGACACGGAGACTATTCGACAAAACTATCCGACGTTCGACCTTGAGGGCAAGGTCGGTCTTTTAGAGGCGGGGATTGTTAGAAACCCGCTCGGGTTGGGGTCGGGTTAGGAAAGGGGATTCGGCCCTTTCTTGTTGTTCGGTTTATTAGTAGTTGAGAAGCACTATATAAAGTTGAGACTAGTTCATTTTTCAGATTTAAACAATAAGAATATTAAACCTAATTCTCTATCTCTCTCTACAATTCTTCCCCAATTCTTCTCAATTCCCAAATCCCTAACCCTAATTTCTATTCTCAATCCCTCTCATTCTATTCCCAATCTAGCGGGTTTCTTGCATAGTCGTACCACCCACCTGGCGAATCCACATCATGCTCGCTGTTCGATCTCGGCACATGAAGCTCCGAGAGCGAAACAGGAAGTGGCTCCATCGAGAAGTACACGTCGTGAAGCAACTCCATCGCAGTAGCCCTACTAAACGGATCATAGCACACCAGCTTCTTCACCAGCGACACCTCTTCGCTCGAACGGTTCTTCAAGCACGACTCCAGCCCAGAAGGGCTCTCCACTTTGCCAAAAGACATAGTCCTGTAGTCAGGAAGGTTCACACAACCTGGCCACACTTCCTCATTCAAGTTCCCCAACACACCGATAATCCTCCCGAGCTGATCAATGTCGGAGCCCCCTGGGAACAGAGGCTCGAGCGTCAAAAGCTCGGCGAAAACGCAGCCCAATGCCCACAGATCGACCTCCATTCCGTAATCTGTGGATCCGTAGAGCAGCTCGGGTGCCCTGAACCAGCGAGTTCCAACGCACGAAGTAAAGCAGCCTTCTTGTGGCCTATCATCATCATCATTGTCGTCGTATGAGTTGGGGCTCCTGGAACCATCATCGCCATACTCGCTAGCTGTGCCGGTTGCAAGGCAAGAGACGTTTCCATCCCTAGTGGTGGTCGTCTCCTCCATCTCATCTAAGAAATCCTGACTCTTGTACTCACTCGTCATTTCTGCGAATGAATCTTCTTCGCCTAATGTGGAGGATTGATGGTGCTTTTCCCCGCCCCAATTGCCTCTCTCGAAATTGAACGAAGCAGTCGTCGGATCGCCGTGGTGAATGCACAATGGATCGGACGGCGCCGGCGGAGGGTTCTCATCCGCTGCTATACATCCGGCTTCCATGAGTATCCTCGCCTGAGAATCATTTCACGTAATTAAAAAAAAGCCCCAATTCAAAGCTGGATTTTCCTCAAACGGAACCCTAATTTTGAAATTAGGGTATGTTAGTGTACCTGGCCGAAATCAACCAATTTGAGGATCCCGTCGTGGGAAATCAACAGATTGCCAGGCTTCAAATCGCGATGCACGATCATGTTTCGGTGGCAGGCGTCGAGGCCGGAGAGAATCTGCATCATCCACTGCTTGACCTCGCCGGAGCGGATCCCACCTTTCTTCTTCCCGTCCCGGATGACGGCGGTCAAGTCGGTCCGGAGAAATTCGAGGACGAGGACGGCGTCTTCATCCTCCGCCCAGAAGTACTCGTGGAGGACGACGACGTTGGGGCAGTTCTGGAGGATGCGGAGGGCCTCGATCTCGCGGAACGCGGACTGGTAGTCGTGGACCTCTTTCAAGGCGACGATGTGGTCGTCAGCGAGGCGTCGGGCGGAGTAGGCGCCGGAGCCGACCCGCTCGTGGATTTGGTACTTGGCGATGATTTCGGGCCTGGTGTAGATGCTCCAGCTCTTGGGATGCGGCGGCGGGGGAGATTTCGGCTCCATTTCTTTTTGGTTCTGCCGGTGGGTTTGGGTTTCTGTGGAGTGTGCGTGTAGGTTTGGCCGGAGACGGGAAGCAGTGGCAGTGATGTGATTTTGGTTTGTCAACGGTGATGATTGGAGTAGAATGTAAACAGACTAACAGAGTCTATCCTATTGGATTATGACACCTGGCTTTCTTTTTTTATTCAGTTTTACTTTTTAATATTTTTTTTTTACAAAGTCAAGAATTGTAAAGACAGTCACACAAAGGAAGTAAGAAAAAGCGAGAGCCGACCAATAATCGAACTCTTGATGAGAAACAAGAGGGCTTTTTGTGCTACATGATGGATAGCCCTATCGAGTCGATGAGAAACAAAACAGTAAGAAACCCTGCTAAACGAAGAAGCCAACCTATAATGGGCCCAACCTATAACGGTTTTCATCATGGGTTACCTAAATTAAGCCCGTAGTTAAATAAGAATTCGGATGGTGAATTACGAATCACAAAGTTAGGTAGGGGTGCTTTGGAGATTGTAACTTTAAGTGATGTATTTGGTGAATATATAACGTCAAGATGTCGTTTATATTCCGTTTATATACAAGTCCCTAGTTGAATTTTGTCCATATAGGTAATCCTCGACATTGCATTTTTTTTTTGGATAATGGTGACAGGTTTCATTTTTTGTGATTAAGGTACTTAATAGATTCGAACTTGAAACCTCGAGTTTATAGGCTAGTAGTATTACCACTAGACCAATCCCTTGTTCGTCCTCGACATTGAAATTTTACCAAGGAAATCTAATTCATTTCGCATCCAACTTCGGTTATATGAATACTAACATGAGACCCATTTTTGTGATGAGTTGATGACAAATTAGAGGCCCATCAGGCCATCACCCACAAAATTGGTCGAGAAATGAAATTTGTACAATTTTTGTCACAATTTGGCCTAACTATCATACGTATTTTGTATTTCAAAACTTGAACTGTATAGTGCGTATAGAAAACCCCATAAATATCTAGACACTTCTAGTGAAAAAACATCACAAAACCCCTACTTATTATGCTCATAAAATTCTGCAGAGGGTTTCTTGGTAGGTATGATAGGTCCCTTACTATGCTTATACAATAAATCTGTTGATGGATTCTTGGTAGGCATGATAGGTTCCTTATTCTGCTCGTTTACGTTCGAGGAAGCGTGTCTGGAACTCATATCGTTAACGGGTACCAAATTCTGCTTGAAATAATTTGCAGAGGGATGTTTGGCATCCATTACAAACAGGTACCAAATTCTCCCTGAAAAAATATGATGAAAAAGATTGGGTAGACATAACAGATTTCTTGTTTTGCTCATTAGAATTATCGATCTCTTCTTGTACTTGAAGCCTGTCGCTGCCACCATGGATCACGACGAAGAGGAGAGACAGCATCAGTATACAACATAGTTGAAAATTTGTATATGATAATTAGCCCAAATCGTGACAAAAAGAGGGCAATTTTATTTCTCGTCCAATTTTGTGGGTGATGGACTGATGGGTCTTTTTTGTCTTGTCGTCATCTCGTCACAAAAAGTGGGTCTCGTGTTAGTATTCATATAACCAAAGTTAGATACGAAGTTAGTAGAAAATTTTCAATGTTGAGGTAACCAATAGGAATAATATTTTAACTAGGTAAATTTGGTGCCCACCTCGCTGCGACTTCTCACAGGATTAGAAATATTGTTTGCCAATTCGTAATTGATTTTTGATTGCGGTTAGCAGTGATACAATAGAAAAACTCCTAACGAAATCTAAATTGGAAGGTGATTTTACATGTACGTAATGATTTAACCACGGTTGAACTACGATTTTAGCACAAAATGTTTTAATTCTAACTTTTCAGAAACAGGCTTCGGCATGATTTTTACAAGATAGTGGTTCTTATAATTTGTTTTAAAAAAATATTTAATCCAGAGAAATTTATTTTTCCCGGCAATCCTCACAGTACGTGGGAGATTGCTAAACCTCGCCCTAACTTTATTTAATTCGCCCTAACTTTAAAATTAGAATTACATATTTATCCTTCAATTTTTTTTATTAGAATATATTTTATTATAAACAAATATAATTGTTTGCACGATTAAAATCTAATTACTTCGGCCGCCGTTTCCGGCTGCCGCCACCACCACTACCCACCTCCGTCCTCCGGCAAAGTGAAAAATGGTGACCAGTGTCGTTCATAAAAAGACAGAAAAGAACTTGAAAACAATTGCATCTAGCATGGAATTACTATCACCTAACACACAACCAATTAAAATCTGATTAACTATTACCCTAATTATCAAATCTATAGGAATCCATGCCAACTGCGGCAGTGCAGAGGAGCAGGGGGCGTGTTCATGGAGGACCACGATGGCCGATGGCGGCAAGAAATAAGGGGGACGCTTGGAGTGCTCTCCGTCCACGGTGAAGGGTCGGTTGGAGTGTAGGTGGTCGGCGGTGGAAATCATTCGGAGTGCAGAGGTCGCACCGGCAGAGGGTAGTTTAGCCGCGCTCTCTCGACGAAGATGAAGAATTAAGGAGGGGCGGTTTGTTTTTGTTAATTATGAATTAATAAAGGATAATTTAGTAATTGTTTGTATTAGATTAGGACGATAAAAGTAAAACTAGGGCGAAATTTAGCCATTCAGATAAAAAAAACACCATAAACCTCTAGCCACTTCTAGCAACAAAAAAATAAATCACAAAATACTACTTATTCTGCTCATATTCTGTAGAGGGATTCTTGTTAGGCATGACAGGTTCCTTATTCTGCTTATACAACAAATCTGCAGAGGGATTCTTAGAAGGCATGACAGGTTCCTTAGTCTGCTTATACAAAAAATCTGCAGATGGATTCTTAGTAGGCAGGACAGGTTCCTTATTCGGCTCATTTTCGTTTGAGGAGGTGTGTCGGGAACCCATATCGTTAACAGGTACCAAACTCTGCTTGAAATAATTTGGAGAGGGATGTTTGGCATTCATTACAGGTACCAAATTCTGCCTGAAAGAATCTAGTGAAAAGGATTGGGTAGACATAACAGGTTTCTTGTTCTGCTCATTAGGGTTATCGATCTCTGGTTGTACTCGAAGCCTGTCGCTGCCACCTTGAATCGTGACGAAGAGAAAATGCATCAGTACACAACATAGTTGGAGAATCATAAGCTTCATCTTATTTTCTCTCTTTAGATGGGGTGGATTGTCATTAGTGTTGTATGTAGGAGCTCTTATAGGAGGAAAACGACTTCGAAAATATGGTGATCGTGTTTTTACAAACCGCGTACTGTGAGGATTGCCGGAAAAAATAAATTTCTTCGAATTAAAATTTGATGAAGATAGAATACGGAATTTTGGGTCCTTAAAAAAAATGTTCAGGAACATAATTTTCTTGGTGGGGGAATTTTTTTCTCTCCCGATAATCTATTGATGGAAGAATTCCGTTCAATGCTAAATTTGAAACGGGACGGTTAAAAGCAGAATCAAGACTAAGGAAATTTTCTTAATTCCGTTCTCCAATCCCTTGGTGAATTTTCCAAAAACCTCTCTCGAGAGATGGTTTCTCTCCGCGCTTCATTTCCGTGATTCAGATCTTGAAGTTGGTTCTGGTGTGCAAAGGGGATTGTTTCTGCAATTCACATCCTTTCTTCTCGACTCTTGGGACTTTCCTCCTTGCTCCACTCAGATGGCCTAGTGTTTCGATGGATTTGGCTTGATGCCTCTGATTCTATTGTCTTTTGGTGCGGAAGTAGGGACGCTATCAACTTTCCATTATCTTCTTTGGGTGGCGGCGCGTGGGATTTTCTTCTTGGTTGCGGCTGCGCGTGTGTGGCGGTGGTGGTCGGCTGTCCCTCCTTTCTTGTTCCCTTGGACGCTCTATTCCCTTGTTTATCTAATTATGGTGGTGTTTCGCATGCTGTTGGGACTGGCGGTGGTGGGTTGGGTGCTGGCGGTGGTTGTTTTGGTGGGTGTGGTTGTTGTAGTTTGTTGGGGTGGTTGGCGGCGACACAAACATGGTAGGGTGAAGCCGTATCGTAAGGTGGACCGGAAAAGTGGTAAGAGTATTTAATATTGAAATTGTGATTTAACTGTGATTCAACTATTTTATATCGCTAAATACCGTCTATCAATTTTACTTTTGATTAGAAATTTTTATGATCGAACCGACGGTTCAATATGACTTTTCAATCCTTGAATTTGAGGCTTTGGGCTGGGGTTTAACATTGAGCACATGTGTGTTTTTTTTTTTTGGTTGCTTGTAAGTGGGTTGTTCCTTTGTTTCGGTCGATGGCCTGTTATTTTCTTGTTATGATATGTATGGTGTAGGATTGGAACTGTGTAGCTCTTTGTGGGCTTTTTTTTTTGGGTTATGCTCGCTTTTCCTTTCTGGGCATTAGTTCAAACTTTGTAACACATTTCTATTTCATTATAAAATCAAGTAAAAAAACTTCCTCTTATTGGTATGGAGCTGGTATGAGTTTGCAATTCTGGATAATTGGAAATAGGATGGGGACGATTTAAGAAAACCTACCTCGTTGCTAGTAACAACCCTATAAGCTAACTTGACCTTCGAACTCTCCGATTCCGCTAACTTGATTGAACAAACAAGTTGCACACGTTAGGCCAAAGCTGTAACAATCCACAATGTTGGTGCTAAAAGTTCCAAATTTTAGAGTTACTTCTAGCATTCTAACCCCACAAAAAGTGAAAATGCCACAATGGGAGAGGCTAAAATGTCAAATCTTTCCTGTGTTATTTGTTCTTAAATACAGCATAGAGTAGATTTTATCATTTTATTTACATTATTTGTTGATAGTTTTTATATAGATAGTCATAATTAATGAAGAAGAACATATTGATGTAATTTTTTTCATTAGATGTTACGTGATCAACGGCGAAGTTCAAATTTCAATTTTAAATTTGTAAGTCATAATCTAAGATTAGTAAGAAAATATTTCGAGTCAAACTCAAATGTAATAGTCCCATTTAAAGCACTAGCGCCCGGTTGTAGAGTGTTTTTTCAGATTTTTATTTTCATTTTTATTTTTTTTGCTTTTTAGCACTAGCGAGTAGCGACGGTCTTAACTGTAAGAAAGTAAAGAAACCAAGCAACGGATTTGACCTATTCTAACTCCCAGATTCTGCCGACTTGGATAAAACAAACAAGCTAGACCGCCTGCCTCTTCAACTTTACTAAAACTTCGTAGCTCACTCACTACTCGAACAAATGCAAGAACTGGCCGGCCGCAGGCTAAAAACCAATAAAATACCAGAAACAGTCTGGAAGTAAGTAACCAAGACATTGCCATAGCACCACAGAAACTTCGAAATTCTTTTATTCTTCTCCATCCCCAAACAGCAACCAGGAGGACAGAATTACTCAAAAGGGTGTCATCATCATAACTCACCATGGCAAAGAGTATCTCCATCACTACCACTAAACTGGCCCGAGACTGAATCGACATATGGTCACCAACGATACAGCTGAGAGAATTAAGAACGAAAGCAAGGCCAATGCTCTAAGCTCAAGAAATCAAGCAAGGGCCTTGATGATATCATCAACACTGGAAACAGTGAAGTCTCCACCTTCTTCAATGTTGGCAGCCTTCACAGTGAGGTCGTCCACCAGTAGCGCGAACCTCCTCGACCTGATTCCGAGACCCTTATCCTTGAGGTCGAGCTCGAGGCCCAGCGCGTGCGTGTAGGTTGCTGATCCGTCGGCCAAGAACTTGACGTGCTTGTTCTCCGGGTAGGTTTTGGCCCAAGCTTTCATCACAAATGGATCATTCACTGCAACCAAAAGGCCAACACCAAATTAGAACACATCTATTACATCCAGAATGGAGCAATTCGACTGCTTTGGTAGCTCGTTTCACCATTTTCGATTAACATAATTGAGGGCAGGGGGTCATTGGTTCTGAATTGAATCAAACACAGACAATTTCCAGCAGACAATCCTAAAAATCTGCTATCCTAGGGTTTGCCTTATAGTTTGTCAATCAATATTGGGGGAAATTCAGGATCAAGACAAATCTAAATTGAAAGGGAAAACTGCTCACTGAACTCAACCGCACAATCTCCCAAACTCCACAACAGAAATTCGAAATCAGTAAACAGCAGTGGAGCGGAAAAGGAATGTTACCGCTAATAGTGATAATCTCAGCAACACCTTTGGCTTTGAGATCCTCCGCTCTCTCGATGAATCCAGGAACATGCTTCAAGCTGCTCCACCAAGAAAACCACAAACGATTTCAGCACTCACAATCGCCGATCCGATTACAGATCTGGAGCAAGATGAGGAAAAATAAGCAGAGGAGAAGAATGATCGGACCTGCAAGTTGGAGTGAAGGCGCCGGGAACCCCGACGATGACGACCTTCTTGCCCTTGGCGAGGGAATGGATGGAGACCTGCTGGAGCTGATCGTTCTCGTCGAAGTGAGCGAGAGTTCCGTCAGGCAAGGAGTCACCGGCGGCGATGGGTGCCATTAGAGGGCGGCGGCCTGATTTCACTCAAAATTCGAGAAGAAAGAGTGGTTGGGAAAGTGGGAAGTTCGTGGGTGTGATGGAATTGAAAGACTAACAGTGATCACTGATTTGTATTTATAGTGGCTAGTGAACGAGAAAGAAATGGATTTTTTTTTTCTTAAAAAAAATGGATTTAATTTCTTCTTCAAATCCGCTGTGACTTTTGGTCGCCGGGGAATCTATTTTTATCGGGTAGTTGCGGTTCTCACTGAGAAACTCCACTAAGCTATTGAGTAATCCGGCCGGCTATGGAGAACGAAGATTACAATATCGTGGGGGAAGTTACCTGGTTGCCCTTGGAACGATTGACGTGATCAATCGCTCAATGCTAATGGAAATGGAATCCACGTTGGTCGTATTCCCTTTGTATTATATCGCAATTCTCAATTAATGTACTAATCCAATTCATCAATTTATAAAAGATATCCAAGTAATTTAACTTATTTAAATTCAATCTATTTATTCAAATTTAAGGGGTTGTTTGGAGAATATGAGTTTAAATCTACAAATTGTCAACAATCTGAAGATTCTAAGTTTCTAACTCTTCGGATAGTTGAAAACAGATTTTAAAATGTTTATTGTTTGACAACTGTGATTGTTAACATTTAATTAAAATAAAAAATTTAATTTTATATTAAATAATATGTTTATCCTTAATAAAAAATTAGAGAGGTTCAAGAAATATTAAAAACTTTGTTGATAAATATAATTCATGTTATAAATAAATAAAGGAAGAGAAAAACTAGAAAAAAAATCTTACGAATCAAGATATATAATTTCTCTGATTATGAGAGATTTTATATCCGCAGATTATAGAGATTTGAAATTTCTAAAGTTAGAATCCACAATACAAAAATCAACAAAAAAACATAACTTTCTACAAAATCTACGGATTCAGTGAATCCATGTCTTGAATCTTGTTCTTCAAACGACCCCTAATTGGTTTGGTGGATTAATGGATTGGATTCATAAATCATTGACAAATTACAGTTTAGTACTTATAATTTTCATTTTTACATTTTGGTACCTAAAATTTAATTTTTTATACAAAAATATCATTGGAAATTATGTTTTGGTACCTAAATTTTTTCATTATGACATTTTAGTACTTAGACTTTTCACATTTTACATATTGGTCAAAGGTTGAGGATGTCATTTGGATTCATGGATAATCCACCAATCCACTTGATCCAATCCATGAATCCACTAATCCATTTGATCAATGGATCCACCAATCCATGAATCCTATCCTTTTGCCACTTCTAATATTATATGATGATCTCTCGTTTGAAATAATAGTATTGATCTAAGTTTCACTCACTAGGTTGACACCATTGGCCCGCACAATTATATGTGGTACCCCTTCTCCTTGATAACATCCAATACATTCTTGAGTGAGTTATTCAACTCTATCAATTAGGGATGGCAATGGGTCGGGTTGGGTCGGGTTTTGCCAAATCCAAACCCAAACCCATGGGTTTATTGGTAAACAAAAATCCGTAGTAAAACCCAATGGGTTTGGAAAACTCAAACCCAACCCAACCCGTTGGGTATCCGCGGGTTCATGGTACCCATGAGTTTTTGTGGTAAAAAATTTACAATGACAAGTTCCTATCAAAATAAACGTCAAACATCAATTTCTCCATACAAATTATCCATACATAAAACACGAGCGAGAAAATTCAAACAAATCACAAATTATTAGACCTGGCAATCGGGTCGGGTTGGGTGATTTTGGATGGGAGTTTTAGGTTACGGGTCGGGTCATGTTGGGTTGGCTTATTTCGGGTCAAATTTGACCCAACCCATTTGGTTTCGGGTCGGGTTACGGGTCGTTTCGGGTTATGAGCGCTCTCAGAAACAATATCAAACATGTTTCATATTTGTTTAAAGAACACAAAGCTTCACTTATGCATGGCAATAGTTTACCTAACACATGTCAATTAACATATTCTCCAACCTTCCCATGCTAATGAAATGAAATACAAATTGCAGAAATCGTGAAAAACAATCACATGAGTAATACTACTACAAGAAACACATGATATTTGATTATGCTCAAACTCCAAACCTGTCTTTCAAATCTCTGTGAATTTTTTTAAACATCTCACCAATTTGTGAATGATTTGATCATTTTGGGAGTTACTTATGAAATGGTACGGGTCTAACGGGTCGGCCCACAAACCCACCCAACCCAACCCAAAAATCACGGATTAACGAGTTCGGGTCATTCGGATTTCGGGTTATAAAAATTTCTATTTTTCGGGCGGTTTCGGGTCGGGTTGTAATTTGACAGGTCTACAAATTATTCATACAAATTGTAAATTAGATTGGGGAAATTAGAATTAGGGTAGGGTTTGGAGAGAGTATGCGATGAAATAAGTGTGTCCGGGTACCCGTGGGTCGGGTATCTCTAAACCCAAACCCAACCCGATGAAAGTGTAACAGGTTTAAACCCGAACCTGGCCCAAAACCCATCAACACGGGTTTTACCCGCATTGACAGGGTTGGATAGGTACCCGTGGGTTCGGGTTTTGTATCCATCCCTACTGGCAATGATGGCATCGAGCGTTAAAATATTTTGGAACAGTTTGAGGTGGCATTGTAACAATACATGGGTTGTGCATGGTACCTCGAGCAGGCCGATGTTAGCCTCTTCAGTTATTTCTTGGTGTCTTTCTTATTGTATGTGCATCATGATTTCTTCAAGCACTATCACTTTGTGGAATTTATGTCATGCTCCTCAATGAACTTGATGCCTTTATTGGAGAGGGTGCAACACAACTCCTCGCTTGTCGTACTTTCATCCAAGCAACATCCAAGACCCGGAGCTTGGATGTCTTTAGCTATCATTGCCAGCAAGATCCACCTCATATAAAAATTTGTGGGCACTTTGCCTTCCCTTAGTTTGAATGTGAAAACCCTATGGTCAACATTTGGTGCTCCCAGCTTACAACCTTAGAGAGAAACAATGTTGCCAATTGATCGAAGCAGTCTATGTATCCCTCCTACAACTAGTAATACCAATCGAGGATGATGTCTTGAGTATGGAAGAAAACATCCCACAAAGCATGGTATCAAGGCTATTATAGAGTTGCATCTTAGTGAAGTAGTTGTTTGGGTGGTTCTCTAGATATGTTGTCCTATCACAGTTGGGTAGTGGTGGTATACTGGTACCTTCTGGTTCTCCTTGGAAGCCTCTAACGATAACTTTTCTCACACCCAGGCTCGTATGTAACTACTGATTCTCGATTTCCCACTCATTGTGTTGATCATAATGAAATGTAAATTGCTTCGACATATACCCTAAAGTGTTCGACCTATTCTAAGGGTTGGACTCCTCTTCCTCTTTGTATTGTGTCCTCTCCCTTTTTCTTGGCGAAGGCTCGACGCCCTGCTTCTTTATTTCTTCAACACCTCCACCTCTTTTATATGGTTCTATAGCAAACACTTCTGACCATCGATTAAATCAACTCTTGCTTGGTTCAATGAGCTTTATGTGTCTCATCCCCTACTTCTATCCCCTTGAAGGACTCTCGGCCTTCCGATGCATAGAGGTTCAGGTTCTCTAATTATTCAAATCTCGTTACCTTCCTCAGTTGACCCTAGGGCTAACCCATTTGGCTACTTAACTAGGTTCAAGGAATCTACAAACATCAATACAGGGGTCTCGGAGATTCGTTAATCATTCGCAGATAAAAGTCGGGAGTTGTGTATTAGAGAGATAAGTATATGATATTTTAGAGAGAGAATCCAACCGTCTCAAATGAGGCTATCTTCCCTATCTATAGTCGAGGCCTCGAGGGTCTCCAACATAGTTCCTCCCATTTTGCTCATCCTTATCTTTGCATTAATGCTCTACACTCTTCTTCGTTCAATGATCTCGACAACGAAGTATCTATCTACTCTATTTACTATCTATCTACTATACTTATAATACGCCGAAGGGAAAAACGGGAGCCCCATTTCAAATTTCCTGCAACGAGAGTGAAAGTAGGAAGGACATTTTGGTCTTCACAATTACTTTTTTTATTCATTAAAAAGACATGTACTGGGATTCGAACCATGATCATTTTTAAGAAAAGCAAGGATCATAACCAATCACACTAAGTACATTTGTTGTATCTTTTTAAATTAAAAAGGCATGTACAGGGAGGAAAAAACCATTCCCCCATTTCAAATTTGCTGCTCCAGGAGCGTTTGTGGGAAGGGTAGAATAGGGAGTGTCAATTTTTTTCTCTTTCCTCTGTGGATCGGGCCAACTTACCGTACACATGCGAATTTGAATGGGTCCAGAAGTGTCAATTTTTTTCTTTAAGCCCTTTTATTTCTTCGTGGTGATAAAATATATATGAAAAGGCAAAAATAATACTTTTTTTTATTGCTAAAAATAAAAAATTTAACAATAAAATAATGCATGGTATCTAATGGGCTAACTGCTAACCATAAAATAAAAGAGTTGAATGGGCCTGACCTACACGAGATTTGGCCATCAAGTAAAACAAATGAACATCATTGGTTTGACATTTTAAAACAAGCTATTTTCTCTGGCATAATATATATTATGCTATTATTTTATATCTTAATGGCTAAAATATAATGTATTTTAAAGTTATTCAATGGTTCAACCTCGACCAACCCAATTAGTCCAGGTTTTATCATTTCAAATATATATTATATAATTATTTGATATCATAATGATTAAATTATGGTGTATTTTATAGGAAATCGTTTGATATTTGTTAGTAAAAAACTAATTAGAAAGATCTATTTGGTTATTTTAAACATTAAAACGATCCTAAACATTTACTGTTCCTTTTGAATTTCTATGATTTTATTCCCGAATAAGTGATGTGCAAATGGCGAATTGTTGTCATCTCTTTTCTTTCACTATTTTTTATTTTCAAATAGAAAGTTTAAAAGTAAAGAATAATTAGACTTTGGCATGGGTCGGTCAAACAGGCTGAATTTCATGTTTTGGCCCGTTTTGATCAAGTCTAATTTATAATCACATGGTTCCCTGATACCCGATAAAAATCTCAATCCAAACCAATTTGGCAGGTGAGTCTGTGTTACCTCTTCAGCGTACTATCTACTATACTTATAATACGCGGAAGGGGAAAACAGCTTCCCCATTTCAAATTTCGTGCAACGAGAGTGAAAGTAGGAAGGAAACATCTCGGTTGCAGTTGATATACGGGAGAACATAACAAAAGCAATGTATAACATCAAAACCAACCATCTGAACTATTAGCATTGTTGCTTTACTCTTTTTTCGTGGTTGAGTCTCCTTCAAAAAAATTAGTTTGATTTTAGAAAATTTTGCTTCTGCAGTCCTGTCTTGCCAACAACGCGTTCAGTAGATGGAGATGGCAGAGGCGAAGGCTATTTTTGTGTTGTTGTTGCTGGTTTAGGGATCAGTTTGTGAAGAAGAGGGAGAAGAGAGGGGGAAAGGGAAATGCAGGAGAGGGGGATAACTCTTTTCTCCGAAAAAAATGGACTGAAGAAAGGAATTATGATCAGTAAGAATATGGTTATCTTACATAACGGTCTCTATTCTGTTTGAATTGAGATTGGGAGGCAGTGATAAGGACGAGCTGCAACCAATTCATAGTGATAAGAGTGCTATGAACAGTGATCATGTCTTATTTCAAGTTAGAAGGTAGTTTCAGGTGAAGGATTATTTAATTTGACAAGTTGTTCCGTCCATGATTCTTGGTAGTTTCAGTGCCATTCTAGCCATTGTTTAGTCTGTATTTTTTTAGAATTGATGTGCGAGTAATGACTTTCACTTAGCTTCAACTATTATGTGTGTATTTATTGGCATGTGATAGAATTCTCTTTTCCTTTTCTTTGAATTCAGTTTCATACTCTAATTGTATCATTTGTACATAGGCAAATCATGCTCGAGATGACAACTCGCTGATATGGCTGGTGCAAGGAATGAAGCCATCATTAGAATTCAGACCGACAATGGGGAGGGATGCCCAGGACTAATTCAATGGTGATTGATGATGGTATGATAAAAACTGCAGTCTGCATCAGCACCAATTTCTAGGCCTAAGTAAAGTTATTCAACCCAGAACTCTGCTTAGCGCTAAAAATTGCCCTCACCCAACCTTAATCCTGTTTGACCCACTTCTGAAGAGTCAAAATATATGACTAATCCTCTCCGTTCGTATTTTCTTATTCACTCTTTCAGACCCTTTAGGTTGGGGCGGGTCGGGAAGAATTAGATTAGTGGGTCGGTCCTAATCAAGTGGAATCACAATCCCTTCACTCTCACTTGCTTTCTCTCCCATTCCACAAGTGGGTAACATACAGTAATCCGGCCAACGGGCCGGGTAATAAGCTAGTTGTTGTGACTAAAGTAGGTGCATGATGCGTGCATTCTCTAATGGCATCTATACCATGGTTTGTCCCCATTTCAAGTGTGTCATTCCTACCTTGTCGGCTAGTGGGCCTTTGGACCGTTCTTACATTTTGGCCAAATGAGGTTAGGCCATCTTATATATAATGGGCTCAACAAGTTCTATCATTTTTCATTAAACTAAATCACCTAGGCAATCGTTTTTCTTACTAAATGTCATAAAAACTTCTCAAAACAAATTGGTCTAGAACTATACGATTTGAGAGTGTTTTCATGTAAACTTATCTATAAAATGATCTCATGTGATTTAGAATGTATGAAATCTTTATAGGAACTTAGTGATGTGTGGTCATCAGACACATAGTTATGGGTAAAAAATAATTGACTCATAACTATATATATTTAGGGGTTCAAACTCAATAATTTTAAATTAAGAAGAATATTTTGCCACTATTTTGAAGATCAGTCCTTGCGATTTCTCTATTGTCATAAAGTTTAATTATAACATCATAAGCAAATATTCAATTGGACCATTCAATCTATTTTACACTTTTTTCACAGACATTGAAAGAGACTTAGTAAAAAGTGTAGACTTTTTTGAAAGAATGTTCATTATGATTATGAATGGGTCATATGCCCAAATGAAAAAGTACAAGCATCATGAAAGTATGATTGAAAAAACTCAAACAAGAAGGCAGGAAAAAAGCCAGGCCGGGAACCTTAATAGGGCATAGGACCAGGGTCGAAACAAGTTTCAGTCTCCCCTAAACCTAGCCGCTAGTGTCCCCTCTGTCTCTTCCCACCGCCCGCGGTTGAGAACCACTACGTCACTTGATTGCTTGACACAACAACGCCACCAACCAGCGACCGCCATCGCGAACAAGACACTAGATCAAATTCCCACCAAACCCGGAAAGCGGGATGAGGGCACATCCGACCATCCCACCCCGAGCCAGTCACCGTTTGCTTCCACCCGTGCACACCAAAGGGAAACTTCTTCGAATCGCCGAGATATGAAAAACAAAACAAGGAGGTAGACGAGGGAAAGAAGAGGAGACAAAAAGCCATATCTATGACAGATTCGATCTCCTTCATATCTTAGACCAAGCAATCATCTACATATATGGGAAACAATACCAGAGGGGAAAAAAACTTCAACCCACATAGAGGAAAGGAAAGGCATCCCTGATCCAACCATGAGAAGAAGAATCAGACCACAAAGGGAGAAAGATAAGCCATTGCATGAGCTAGAAAGCGCAACAACGAAGAAGGAGAAGAAATGAAGGGGGACGGTGGAAAAGAAAGTGGGCAAAGGACCGATTACCGGAGGAGCGCCGACAGCAGCCGCCATGGGTGCCTCTAATTTCAAATCAAGAGAGAATCCAGAGAAAATTTTACAGAGAGAGGGGAAACAAACAATTATCAACATCTCTAGTTAAAGGTGCACACAATGAATATATCTTACATTTATTTTAGAATATGAAAACACATCGTGATTGTTTATGAAAATGACGATCACTGTTTCTTTTTCTATAAATGAATTAATTGGAAATTATTATTTATTTTGAAAAAAAGTACTCATAATTTCAACTCGTGACTCCACCACGGAATGTATGATACTAGTTTCTAGACACCACTAAATTTTTTTTCGAGCCAAACAAATAATGTTATACAACAATCTTCATCTCCCTGCCTGCCTCATCATCGTCGCCACTGCCAACTTCAACCGCATCCCAAAGCTTCCGATCATCACTCCCATAAGCCCAACTGCAGACCAAATAGTAAAAGAAATTCCCGACACTCAGAACCGCCAGCAGCCAGTAGTAATAGTCGTAGTGCCCGCGGTTCAAATCATTCCCCACCCAACTCACCCTCCCGCCACCCTTCCCCGTGATGTCATCAACCACCGACACGATCAAGCTCCCGGCCAAGTTCCCAGCACCGAGCCCCAGCGACACCAACGCCATGGCAACACTCCTCATGCTCGGCGGAAACTGCGAGTAGTAGAACTCGATCTGCCCGATGATGCTGAACGCCTCCCCGAGCCCTGTCAGGCAGTGTTGTGGGATCAGCCAGTTAGCCGACATGATCCGCCCCGTCGCCGCTGTCCACCTACGACGGTGCTCGACCGCCCCCGCGACGGCGGTGGCGAGGCAAGAGATGAGGAGGCCGATCCCCATCCGGTGCTTGTTGGGAATACCGTTGGGGTGGTTGAGGAGCTTGGTGGCGAGGATTTTGGGGACCAAAACGCGGTCGTAAAGGGCGACCCATAAGGTAAGGGTGAGGATGCCGAATATGGCGCCGTAGGAGGCCGGGGGGAGCTTGAAGTTGCCGATGAAACGACGGTCCATTGAGCTAGCTTGTAGCGCCGGGAAGGTGTGCTGGCTGATGGTGGCAGCGATTATGATGGTGGTCGACCAGATTGGGAGGAGCTTGAGGAGGGATTTTAGCTCTTCTACTTGTTGGACGGTGCATAGGGTATTTTGGTCTTTTGGTAGGTCGTCCGATGGGTTTGAGATCATGCATGCTTTGTTAAGAAACCTGGTCAAAGACAAAAAAAAAAAAACAACAACGTTATTATTAGGAATGCGCAACAATCTGGTTAACATCGGACATAACCGTAACAAAATGATATTTATACCGAATCGGATCATCATTATATTTTGATTCGACTTGATCTCGTGAGATATTTTGAGTATGAAGAAAAATGGACCAGACCGAATTAAACAAAATAAACTAGACTTGCTTTTGTTATGGTTCTATTACTCATTTTTTCTTTGTTTTTGGTTTGATCCTATCTCAATTTGATCCAGTTTTAAATCGAATCGAACGATGAAATTGTTTTTTTTTTGTTAATAGATAGCATATAGGACAATGATGCATGTATTAACATGTTGGATATGCCTATGGTGACTTGCAAGTTATCATAACTTGGAGAAAACGATCGACCTTTTCTATTAAGTGGTCGACCACTTTCAAAGAAAATGGTCGACATCTTCCACCAAGTGGTCTAACACTTGACTCAACCGGTCTACTGCTTCCAAAAATAGGGTCGACCTGATGACACACTTATCTTCAAGTAGTCGACCTCTTCAACCACCGACCACTTTCCAAGAAAATGGTCTACCACTTCCACCAAGTGGTCCACCACTTGAGTCAACCGGTCTACCACTTTCGAAAATAGGTCGACCACACTTACCTTCAAGTGGTCAACCACTTTCCAAGAAAATGGTCTACCACTTTAAGCAACCGGTTTACCGCTTCCAAGTTCCAGCAATGGTCGACCTATGATACATTTACCTTTAACTTACACCCGCTTGTTGGAGGAGGTAGACTGATTCTGTAAATTGGTTTACGTATCTCTTTCGGTGAATGATCTCTGCTTTCGGTGAACGGTTGACTAGATGACACAGTTACCTTATACTTACATTAGGAAAATAATGGACGATAGGAGACCAACAATACAAAATTGTTTTATAGTAACGCAACATCCTATCATCTGTGGGCAACCAAATCCTTACGCATATTATAGACCCAAACAAAAGAACCAACACCCTCTTTTAACAGTTATGGAATAAAAATCCACAAAAACAAGATGATGTGAGATATATGGACGTTGAAGATCGATGTCACAATTGTATAACAATTATACTCTTCTTTTTGAGAATTTCTATAACAACAAAGTTGATCATCACAAGACAATTATATGATAGAAACAAGCAAACTTAGAATTTGAAAGAAAGATGAAAGTCTTTATAGAGTAAGTCAAATATTAGAAATAAATATGCATAACATTTCTCAATCTATGTGAGAACAATCACTCGAGAAACTTGTCATCTATACTTGTAGCCTTTGTATTAATTTCAAATCTCTTATTAGCAAACATATTTATTATTGGACTCTAATTATTTATGATTATATCACTAGCAATGGTTCATCAGGTTGATTGATTATTAAAAGCGGTGGACCGCTTGATGAAAGAGGTAGACCTTTTTTTTAAAGTGGTCGACCTTTTAGTGGAAGAGGCCGACCACTTGTTGAACATAGCAAATTGAAAATAACCATTCAGCAAATAGGTCGACCGTTTTATCCAAATAGGTCAACCATATCAATAAAGAGGTTGACCGTTTTGTCCAAGTCATGGTGACTTGCAAGTTAGCCTAGCAAAATCCTAATATGTTGCTAATGCCTATGATTAACAAGGTAACCAATCTCTTTGTTATGTCTCTGATTATCCAGAGTCTAATTATGTAATTAAAATGTTTCGAGATGTTTTCGAAAAATTTGAATCCCGTGCGACTAATACAATGGATGCAATCATCCTTTTACAATAGTTAGATGTGAATTATGTAAAGCAACAATTATCATTCAAGAAATTTCCACAAGTCAAACCATCTTCCAAAAAATGACAATGAACCAGATAACCGATCTATATATATATGTACCTCCATTTATCAGTCGGCCGGACAAGCTTCGACTCTTGGCCACAAACCCACCGATCCGAATCCCTCGGCGGCACCGTCAACCCCCTGTTCCTCCACGCGCCGACAACCACCCTACCGAAACTGGTCAGCAGGGTTGAATCTCCCGGTACCCGGACGTAAGCGGGCGAACCGATCAGAAACAGCACTGCTGATAGGACCATTAGCGCCACGGGCACACCAAACCCGATGACCCACCCGAACTGGTCCTGGATCGCCACGATGGCCAGGGCCGAGACGATGACCGAGATCCCAATCGAGGCGTAGTACCAGCTGAAGAACGTCTGCAAGGTCCTCTCGTTTCTCGGGTTGGTCGGGTCGCTCAGCTGGTCCGCCCCGAATGCTAGCGAGCAGGGCCGGATCCCGCCCGCCCCGATCGCCATAAGGATGAACGAGGTGAAGAGGAGAAGCAGCTGGCCATGATCGGGCGAGTCGCAGTGTTTTGCGTGGCATGATTGCGGCCGCGCTGTCGGAAAGATGGCGGTGGTCCACAATACTAGCATTCCCTGAGAAGTAACCATATAAAGGCGAGATCCGTGGGAGGCTCAGAATTTTTTAAATATATGTATTCTATTCCATGATAAAAAAAAAAAAATTTATTTCAATACAATTTTATTGTTTTTCATAACGAGGCGCTATGAATGGTTTGCAGACACATTCATCACTTATTTTTTAACTCACATGTTTTTTAATGTATACAATCCAAAAATTATTAATGAATCGATCAATAATTCAATTTTGAAAATTATTCTTTATAGTAAACAATTTCATTTCACATCTTACAATTCTCATAAATGTGCCAATTACAATATTTGGAGATGTATCAATTCAAAAGATTTAATTTCAAATTTTACGATGACGTACAGAAACGTGAAATTTTTTTAACTGAGCTGTGACAAGCGACACAACTCTCATTCTCATAGGTCCGCAATTGCCGGCTATGGTTAATGATTTTTGGAGTACTTACGGAGACGGTGACGAGGGTACCGACGACGATTACGCGGAAGCGGCCAAAGTAGGAGTCCGCGGCGAAGGCGCCGACGATCGGGGTGAAATTGGAGAGGGCGCCCCAGAGGAAGAGGACGTTGGCGGCGGCGGAGTTGGTGAGGTGGTACTGCTTCTTCAGGTAGAAGGTCATGTTGGCTTGGAGCCCCACGCTGGCTACCTTCTCCAGTGATTCATTTGCTGTATTGTATGTAACAATGGTGGAATTAATTAATGACATTTAGAAACGGAGATCAAGCATTAATATATAACTGCAGTAATGTTCAAGAATAATGGAAGGAAAATTCCGAGGTTATTCGGGAAATGAATGGATCGATTTACAGATGATGAAAGGCATCGTTTTTAAGCCGCCCTTTCTACGGGCTGTGGTTGGCTGACGAGTTTGGTCGTCGGCGGGGGAAATCCCGCCGGCCGTTTCACTCATGTGATGTGAATGTGAAGTGATGACTGATGACAATGAAGTAAGGAACGAGGGTCGAGGGGTTCCTCTTTCTTTAATTTGAAGGTTAGTTTAGTGTGTGTACCTACTGATATCTATAAGCATTCAATATAAATTAAATTGTGTCCCTCCACATTGTAATGGGTCATTTTATATGCGTGCCAAATTACAATCCAGGTAGAGAGATTCTTATCATTTGCTTCAAATAGTCCCTAAACTCCAATGTAAAAAGAAAATGGTCCATAAACTCTAGCTTTGGCTCCGTCTTAGTCTTGAGCTTCTATTTGGTTTCAATCCATCAGTTAATTGAGCTTTAATATCGTTGTTTCAATTTGTATATATAGAGCAAATGTTTGTGTACGTCTCTCACACGTATGTGTTCATGTACTTCAATGTAATTCGACATATGAAAATCGTCAGTTATTTTTTTATTTATTGTCAAATAGGTCTTATGGTTTGGCTGTAGAGAATTAGAGTTAGGGTTTCACCCCATTAGATGTTAGAGTATAGTATTATGATACAAATTTGGGTTAACTCTTGGTCTAAATAACTAAATGTAATTAAGATATGATAAGGTTAACATACGACAGATTAATTTACACGTACACTAGTTTGAATTATATATATAATATACAGATACCCCAGAAAATAATGTATTCAGTGGTTGAATTAAGTTCAAAATGCATGCACGCACGCACTTTTGGTACTACTATATATATGGTGACCCAACGTGCGATTAAGCCAATGTTTAGTGACAACATTGAGCTTAGCAAAAAGTGCATAAAAGCTTAAACTATATGGATCACTAAAGTGCTCATCGTCATCAAGGCGCCGGACGGTTGATGACACCATTACAGAAGGCTCCAAGACGCTAAGTTCCAAGCTTAATATACATAGTATGAACTTGAGCAGCAGCCGCATCTGGTGCTCTGTCTCTCGTTTATAGTGACGATATATACCGGCGGTACAAGCAAAACAAATGCTTCAATCCCACATGCAACAACGTACGAGTATCTTGGGAAAGCTGATGTAAAATGATCCTGTGATCAATCCAAGGATCTCATTTTCCGGCAAATGTGAAGGCCTGAAGTATGTCCAAGACATATACTGACGAATGTTCGATAGCTAGCACAATTACTCAAGGTTGGGTGACAATTCTAATATGAAGCTTTCACAAATGATAACATTAATTGTGTATTGATGAGTTTGAGGGTGCAAAATTTGGCACCTAATCCGCTTCGATAATGTTGATTGGGGATGACAATGGTTTTTTGTGGAATCAATTTTTCTATATACCGTCCCCCAATCACGGTTTTGAACTGATCATATGAACCCATTAGTGCCTAACGCTAATAAGTGTTTTAGTAAGCAGATTAAAGCAGTATTTTTCTTGATGTCCTGTGTTGGGGGGCTTGACGACACATGCCCAGGGTCGGGCCTGTTAATCATACTTTGTCCACCTCATAGAAGTAACCATGATTGAATTTATCTGAATTAGCGTGAATCTTAAATTTGCACATCATTCCCCAAAAACCAATGACTCTCCCAAAAGAAGCATAATCATAGTTCATACTTCATATACTACTCTCCCAACTAACCAGAAAGTTGCTCGCCACTTTTTTTCCTTATTATGAATTTTTAGTCTAGTTTTGTATATACATATAATATCTACTTTATCGACCAAAACAAAATCACTACTAAAAACAAATTTTCTAGGGTTCTTAAACCCCTTTACATTTCAAGATGTGATAATCGTTTAGAATGAATTCAAAAATCAACAATTTTTGCCTAAATTTAGAAAAAATGAACTTAAACCTTGTCAACCCCATAAGTTGTTCGTCAGTGTATGCAAAAACGAAAAGTTTAGAGAAGCCGCAAGGAATTGCTCAATAAGACAGTCCTTCAAGAAAGTTGTCCCCTTCTCTTTTACCTCCCTTGGCAGATGGAAACCAACCCCAGACTCGCTTTAGTTTCTAGCTAGAATTTGAGATGATTCTCAAGATCTACCTCAAACAACTATATACTGGAGGGAGCCCAATCCTTCAATTGGTGCACTGGCGATGTAGCCGCCACGACATAAAAATCTAGGCCAAGCAACGTCGACGATAGTAGAGAGAAGATGGGAAATGAAAAATACATATTAAATAATTTACTTACACAAGTAGCTAAAACAAAAAAATAACTATCAGAGCCTGGTTTCGATCCAGGGACCTGTGGGTTATGGGCCCACCACGCTTCCGCTGCGCCACTCTGATTAGAATATTGAGAAATTGTCTCCCAAATTTATATTAATTTATTAGTTTTTTCTATAATTCTAAGCTTTTACTCTAATTTCATATGCTATAGGGATGGCAATAAAACCCAAACCCACGGGTACCCATCCGATCCAACCCGGTCAACGCGGGTAAAATCCGTGTTGACGGGTTTTGGGCCGGATTTGGGTTTAAACCAGTTCACTATTCACCGGGTTGGGTTGGGTTTGGGTTTAGGTAAACCCGATCCATGGGTATCCGCTCACACCCATATAGTTAATTTTCTCGGTATATTTAATATTCTAAACAACTCATCTTATTTATGTTTGTGGAGACATGTCTAATTTTTTCTTTCAAATTGTGTAGAATGAAGTTGATGTTATCGAGTGGAGAGTGAAGAAACTTAATTGAAAGGAAGAAGTTTTCAATTAATCATGTTATTTATGGATAATTTGTGATTTGCTTCAATTTTCTTGAGTTTTCTATATTGGTGTTGAACAATTTGTATAGTTAATTTGTGATTTGCTTGAATTTTCTAGAAATGTGTTTTACATATGGATAATTTGTATTGAGAGATTGATATTTGACTTTAATTTTGATAGGAACTTGTTATTGTAAATTTTTTACGACAAAAACACGTGGGTACCCATGAACCCACGGATACCCAGCGAGTTAGGTTTGAGTTTTTCAAACCCATTGAGTTTTACCCCGAGTTTTTTTCACGGATAAACCCATAAGTTTGAATTTGTGTTTGACAAAACCCGACCCAACCCGACCCATTGCCATCCCTAGCTACATATTCATTTTGGGCAATGATCGCTGAGTTAGTGTAGAAACCCTGTATCATTTTTGGAAAGTACGGAACATCAAGTGATAAGACCTTGAGCTACTCTTGCTCTACAAATGATCCAAGGAACCCATGAGCTTCAAAATGGGTGTAAGCCGCTTCCGTTGATGGTAATCCAGGAGCCATCTTTGCGGTTGTGCATTTTGTTTTGTTCAAACTTATCGGTTTGTGTTTTGTTCTGGAACAATGTTGTATTGAAATCACCCGTTCACTGCTTGAGCTCTCTGCTTTGTTAGACTTAATTTTCTTATTTTCTAGAAACATCATGAAATCCAAGAAAAAGATACTCATATTAGTAAATTCTTAACACTGTTATGTTTTGATGGTAAATGGAAGGGGGAGCAAAAGGCAGGGGCAAATGATGTTTCCAATGAACTTGCCCCCGTTTGTTTGTTTTGGAACAGTGTAGGAGGGTGTAAATGGTGGAGCAAAAGAAAATGGAAAGGAAGGGGAGAGCAGGTGGGCCGAGGGAGAAGGAGATGGGAGAAGGAGGTGGGCTCCACCTTTTGTTTTTCTTTCTTTTAATAATAATAATAATATATTAAAATTTACTTTTTAATCTCATTTTTGTATCCCTCACTTTTTATTCCAAACACCAATTTGCACATTCACTTACACCCTCGTTCAATTTGCTCCCCCTATAATTTGCACCTCATTTTGCACCCTCTTCGAATTTGCACTCCCTATTTGCCAAACATAGCGTAAGTAAAACACATATATGCAAAAGGCACAAAGAACATGCATATGCCAATCTTTAGTAGCATGACAAGACTGCTTTCATGCGGTCGGCCATTTGTAGTGTGAGGTATACCAAATAAGCACAATTGGGAAACAATAAAATTAGCAAAATTTAGGAAAGCAAGAACGAACGGCCAGCCTCGTAAATGCCAGATTGACTATTTTGGCAAGCAGCAGCGCACAGAATCGCAATTGATGGGAGTGGATAAGATCAGTAACCTTATGATGAGTAACAATGAGTAATCCGTCCACGTTAGCATGACATCAAAATCCTTATCTGTCATGGAAAGCCTTTTATTTATTCCCCTTTAATCTTTAGTAGACGATTTCACTCTCGTTTTAAGTCGGAATTTTAAATTTTTCTTGCACAGATAAATCAGATTAATTGTGATCTTTAAAATGCTATCCACTTTGATATATTTTTAGAACAAAAACTTGGGGCATTTTTTACCAGTCAATACCATATGGTATTAAATAGGAGCATACCATATGGTGAGAAAGTGTACCATGATGTTATGAACATACCAAGACTCTAGGAAGGTTGAATACATGATAGTAGGAGTATACTAACTGTCATATACGACTTTCATCATTGGTTACCACAAGTTACCACCCCCATACCAGAGTGGTAAAGTTTGGTAATTTTTTGTCTTGTATTTTTTTCATCTAGAAATTTGTAGATCCAATAAATCATGATGAGCTTGTTCATTCTGAGCAAATATTTTCACAAACGACTTAAAAACGAAGAAGTTTAATTCATAACCCTTAGATCTGAATTTTCTGGACCCACTTAGATCTAAAGGTGCAGATTTAGTTGCTTATAGGTCAGTAAGACCATCTACAACCCAATGGACTAGAAAACAAAAAATTTGGACTAGCTTTGGTATTTTAGTCCTCCAAAAGGTGGTTTTGCTCCAATGCAGAAGACTAAAATTCTAAATTCGCTAAGTTGCACTTTTTCGACAAATATAGTTTAGAGTAGATTTCATCATTATTTTTACATAATTTGTTGTTTATTTTTATACTGATAGTAACAATTAATTAAGACGAACATTTCGATGTAATTTTTTTTAATTTCGACATAATTTTTTCATCTAATATGACGTCATCAATAGCAAAAACACAATAACTAGTTCAAATAACTACATTTGTATGTATTTAGGAGGTTGTTGACAGTAATTATTATTGTTATATATATTA